GCGGGCGGGGGGGGGGCGAGGGGGGGCCAGCCAGCCCCCTCCCCACAAACCCCGCCTGTGCCGTGCAGGGGGCGGGCGGGCGGGGGGGGGGCGAGGGGGGGCCAGCCAGCCCCCTCCCCACAAACCCCGCCTGTGCCGTGCAGGGGGCGGGCGGGCGGGGGGGGGGCGAGGGGGGGCCAGCCAGCCCCCTCCCCACAAACCCCGCCTGTGCCGTGCAGGGGGCGGGCGGGCCGGGGGGGGGCGAGGGGGGGCCAGCCAGCCCCCTCCCCACAAACCCCGCCTGTGCCGTGCAGGTGGCGGGCGTGCCGGTGCAGTTCGACGAGCACCACCTGAGCGAGGTGCAGAACCTGGCCTCGGAGGAGATCCTGGACCAGGTGCTGGAGTCCATGCAGAAGAGCAAGGTGGCCCTGATCGGTGAGGCCCCTGTCCCGAGACCCCCGGGAGGGGGGGCCCCGGAGCCCTTCAGCCCCCTGACCGCCTGCGCTCTCTGGGCTTTGCAGGGAAGATCCACACCCCCATGGAGTTCAAAGGGGAGCTGGCCTCCTACGACATGAGGCTGAGGTAGGTGGGCCCCCTCGGCAGCCCCACCTTTGCTCCTGGGGGGGGATGGGCAGGGGGGGTGCAGGAGGGGACCCACCCCCGGCTCCTCCTTGCAGGCGAAAGCTTGACCTCTTTGCCAACGTGGTCCACGTGAGCAGCCTGCCCGGCTATAAGACCCGGCACAACAACCTGGACCTGGTGATCATCCGGGAGCAGACGGAGGGCGAGTACAGCTCTCTGGAGCACGAGGTGAGCCCACCCACCCTCTCGCTGGCGGCTGCAGTTACGGGTCTTCCAGAGGGATCCGGGGGGGGGGAGGGGGCTGCCGGCATCTCCAGTGAACCTGGGGTGGGGCTGCAGCAGGCCAAAGGGACCCCTGAGGACCTATAGGGCAGGGGTGTGGGGGGGAAGGGGAGGGTCAGTTATCCCACAGGATCAAGGTCAACCTGCTTGAAAACTCCTCCCGTGGGCTGAAGAGAAAGGTGGGCGTGTCGTCTCACAGGTGACCCAGAGGGCTCCGCTCCCATCGTTGGCTTCAGGCTTTAAGCCTTCCCCATCAGCCACTAAGGATCCCCGGGTGATCTTTCTGAGATCCATCTACAGCAGTGGTTCCCAAACATTTTGGGACCGGGGACCAGTTTTATGGAAAACGATTTTTTCCCACAGATCTAGGAGGGAGAGGAATGTGCAACTCAAGTCCCTCACACGAACAGTTGCTGGTAGGGCTTGTGCTCTGATGAGGACCCGATGCCCGGGGAGCAGAGGTGGTGATCCAAGTGCCGCGGAGGCTTTGCTCTCTCTCTCACCCAGCATTCTCCAGTTGTTCCACTACCAGTCAGCAGCCTGGGGCTGGGGGGGGGGGCGGCTTGGGACCCCTGATCTAGAGGAAACAATTGGAAAAGAGAAACAAATGCCAGAGGAAGAGGGAAATTCTTCTGCTGGTCCGAGCAAAGACTTCTCTGGGTTTTCCTTCCCCATTGCAGAGGAGGCAGACCCTTGACCCAGAATGTGGGCTCTCTGGAGTGGGGGGCTTTGCTTCTTTTGGTGGCCAGCCTGATGTAGAGGCAGTGCAGGGAGAGCAGGCCAAGGGGAGCTTCCCTTCCAGCAACTCCAGTGGGGGGCTCTTGGGGGGCTTCAAGGGAGCCGCAGAGCTTGTGCTTCTGTCTGTCTCCAGAGTGCCAAGGGGGTCATTGAATGCATGAAGATCATCACGCGGGCCAAATCTCAGCGCATTGCCAAATTCGCCTTTGATTTTGCCACCAAGAAGGGGAGGAACAAGGTCACCGCGGTGCACAAGGCCAACATCATGTAAGTCAGCCTGCCTGCCTCAGTGGACCCAGGCGGGGGCTGGGTGAGGGCCTTCCAGGGATCCCCCAGATCTCTTTGCCCACGGGGGGGTGCCTGCTCTGCAGCAAAATTGTCCCAAGGCAAAGGAACCCCCCCCCCCCCCCCATGCAGGTTGAGATCAGGGAGGTTTCTCTCCCTTTGCCCTGGTCCAGAAAGGCCTTGGGAGGTTGGGTGGGTCTTGTCCCACCTGTTTAAATTTTAATTTGGGCCTGGGAAGAAGGATCAGCCGCCTCCACCTTCTGCCCAGAAGAGCCTCCGCAGCAGCTTCCAATTCTGCTGCCTGCTGAGAGGCCGCTGTGCTTTGGGCCCCCTGGCTGCCCCAGCCGGCCCCTTCGGCCCCTTGGATTCCGGCTGAGCCTTCTTGGCAAGGCGGGTGGCCCGTCTCCGTCCCTCCCACTTCTCTCTCTCCCTCTGCCCACTTCCAGGAAGCTGGGGGATGGGCTCTTCCTTCGCTGCTGTGAGGAGGTGGCTGAGCTGTACCCCAAGATCACCTTCGACACCATGATCATAGACAACTGCTGCATGCAGGTAGGGCGAGAGGCCGAGAGGGGAGGGTGCCTGGGAGGGAGGGGCTCTGGCTGGCTTCTGCTGAGGGCGTCTGAGCAGAGGCAGGAGAGCCCCCTCCTCACTGGGAGGCTTTGGAGGGGATTGGATTCCAGGGGCCCCTCCCAGCCTTTGATGTGGGGGAGGGGGCAGAGATAACTTTTCAGAAAGCTTCCTGGGGGGGGGGGAAGGGAGCTGGACTTCCAGCGGTTTCAGAGCGGAGCCTCCCCCCCCCCCGCTTCTCCAAGGGCCCCTCGGGGAGGCAGCTGAGCTCTGCCCAGGGTTTCCTGCATGTCACACAGTCTGTGGGTGTGTGGCCTGAGGGCCCAGGTGGGCACCGGAGCTAGAGGGACGTGTGGGACGTGTGTTTTCCAGCTGGTGCAGAACCCTTACCAGTTTGACGTCTTGGTCATGCCCAACTTGTACGGCAACATCATTGACAACCTGGCAGCCGGCCTGGTGGGAGGGGCCGGAGTGGTGCCGGGGGAGAGCTACAGCGCCGACTTTGCCGTGTTTGAGATGGTGAGGACGAGGCTGGGCTGCCCCTCCCCTCCTCTGCCGGGGGTGGGCAGGGCCGGCGGGTGTTTCTGGAGGGGCCCCTGCGGGAACCACCTTTCTGCTCCTCTTGCAGGGGGCCCGTCACCCCTTTGCCCAGGCGGTCGGGAGGAACATCGCCAACCCCACGGCCATGCTGCTCTCCTCGGCCAACATGCTGCGCCATCTCAAGTAGGTGCCCAGGCTGGGGCTGCTGGGCTTGAGCGGGGGGTCCCGGAGGCTGCTCCCTGCCCATCCGCCCGGCCTGCCTGGCAGGGCAACAGTGGCTGGGGGGGCCATCCTGCCCCCCCCCTGCTGAGATGCACCCCCTCCTCTCTCTCTCTCTCCCGAGCAGCCTGGAGCACCACTCGGCCATGATTTCAGACGCGGTGAGGAAGGTGATCAAAGTGGGCAAGGTGAGTGAGGGGCTGCCCTGTGGCGCCTGGCAGAGGAGGGGGGGGTCCTGGGACTGGAGCGGTTCCTCCTTGCCGTGCCTTCCTACGGTTCCTCTGCACCCCCGTCTGACCACCTCTCTCCCCCCCTCCCCCCTCTAGGTGCGGACCCAGGACATGGGGGGTTACTCCACCACCTCGGACTTCACCAAGTCTGTCATTGACCACCTCCACCCCCCCTATGGCGTCTAGGCTCAGGCTGCCCCTGGCCCACACCTGCCCCCTTCCGCA